TGTTGGTCAAAGTACACAAACCTTCAAGTATAAGATAAGTAAGTTCTGGGGATTGTGCAGCATGGTGACAATGGTTAACAATACTTACTGGATTGTATACTTGAGAGTTGCTAACAGAGTATTTTTGCCACCCCCAATCCCACATATACAAACAGGTAACAATGTGAGGTGTTGGATGTGTTGACCAACCTTACTGTGGCAATAATTTCATAATATACATGTGTACCAAATCATCACATTGTACATCTTGAACTTACATAATGTTATTTGTTAATTATATCTCAATAAAGCAAGAAAAAAAATCAGGTCAAGCATCTACTTCCTTATACAGCCTTTCTGGGACCCTTTTCCCATCTAGTGAGAGTTGACTCAGTTCTTCTGTTCCAACCATACTATGGAATATGTTCTGATAATAACACTAATCACATTTTATTACACTTATTTACCTATACGCCTATCACCCACTAAAAGATTATAAGCTCTTTGAGGACAGAGACAATTTTATTCATCATTATACCTTTCATGACTAAAATACAGCTTGACATAATTAGATTATAAATGGGAAAAATTAAATTATCAATGGGAAATTAAATAAACTTTGCTTCTCCAATAAAAATTCAAACTGAAAAAAAACAGATGTGGGAAATTTGGCTCAAACTTCTCAAGCATGCTTTAAAAATTCTATTTGAGGGGCACCTGGGTGGCTCTGTCGGTTAGGTGTCCAACTTTGGCTCGCGTGGTGATCTCGCGGTTCTTGGACGGAGCCCTGTGTGGGGATCTGTGCTGACAGCTCAGAGCCTGGAGCCTGCTTCAGATTCTGTGTCTCCCTCTCTCTCCCTGCCCCTCCCCTGCTTGTGCTCTGTGTCTCAAAAATAGATAAACATTAAAAAAAAAAAATTAATTCTATTTGAGCTGACAAGGTATAACTTTTTTAAAAACCAAGAGGGAAACAAGAGGTTGTAACATGTCCTGAGGTCGCTATGCCTACATACATTATGCCCTAAAGTCTGAGGCAATGAACACAATAAAAAAAAATCTGTTTATTCTTCTGGGAAAAATAACTCTTTACGTAAATGACTGATATGTTTTACATGGGAATACTCCTCACTTGTAAGGAATTTTCTATTTGGTAGGGTGCTTGTTAAAAACTCAGATTCCTAAAGCCCATGCCAAACAAGTCCTATTAAATCTGAGTCTCTAAGCAGGTGCAACTTTTGCAAGGTTCCCAGATGTTTCCTGACATTTGACCATGGCTTCTCTACCCCCAGTTTATTGTCAAAGTCCCAGATTCTACTCTTGGGGGCTGGGGCTATTTTCCCCTCTTTCCTGACAGTTCTTAGAACTGGAGATTTTTTTCTCTGATGCAAACCTAATGGCCCAATTATACATGACTTTTTAACCCCAAATCTTATTATTGCAAAGCACATTTTTGCTTTGAAAATCACTTCAAAGTGGAGATAACCCAAACATTGACTGGTTTATTTGATTAAGACTCTAAGCCCTTCTGATTACATCACACCTGTCCTCTTCCCTCTGCACTAGCAGTATGCAATTTGCTTCAGAGCACAGGTCTATGGGCTTGAATCTGTTTAAACCTAACAGCAGAGCTGCAGAAAATATACATATATGTCATTATGCGGTCATTAATATCGGTAAGTGAATCAATATAAGATTTTGTGGTAGTAAGTTATATGCAGTACCTAGTGAACATATGTGGTAGAATTTTTCTGATCAATCAAAGCAATACTATTATGGTATTTTCAGTAAATTTATAACAATGTAGAGGTTAATTAACAATTAGTGATCCTCATAGATGCCAGTTTACCAAGATATTATTCTATTCTCTTAGCAATGGAGCTATAAAGCCCTCCAAATCACACAACAGATGTTATACTTTCATTGTTGGTCTCATGGAACTTTTCCAACAATCTATGAGGTTTTCTGAAGGTGTTAGAATTACATCGATTTGAACAACAGAAAGTATATGGGTTTCTATTTATATCTATCATGAGTCAAATGTTCAAACAATAGCTTTTTCGGACATTAGTGCCACAAATGCAAAATAATCCATACCCAATGGAGCCTAACAGAGAGAATTCCTTACATTCTTTTCTTATCAGAGAAGTAGGCTCTGCTTTGAGGGGGGCTGGGTGTTTTTATCTGCCTTTTCACTAATTTTACTAGAAAACAAATGCATAGTTTCCTTCCACATATAAATTCACAAAGCTGTAGAACAAAAGAGCCAGAAGGGACTTAAGAAGTCAACCTCCTTGTTCAAGGTCAGTGGCAAAAATGGGACTATAACCAGATCTGCTCTTTCTACTGTTCCATAAATTCAGTTCAGGTGATTTAACATATGTATATTAGATACCAACTTTGTATAAAGGAAACATCTTTTGAAGCATAATGTTTGTAAAAACACAGCTGTCCCAAAATATCTGCCACAAATCCCTCCTTCGCTATGACATGGTCTCTTGATAAAGTTTTTGTTAAAGCAAAATGTATACCCTGTATACAATAACAATCTGAAAAGAGAAATTCTTTGTCCACCCATGACTCATTCATTTGTCCAGTCAATTATCAAGGATATAGTAAGAGTCTTACCATGTCAGGCACAACTAAGTCTAAGGGTAAGTAGATCAACCAGACATGGTTCCTACCCTTGAGGAATGTACTGGCTAATGGGGAGAGACAGAAATATCAACTAATGACTAATAGCATTATGACCAAGGCAAAGAAATGCTGAAACAGCAGTTTAACATTTAGCTTGAAGGCAGTCAATAAGAGAACATTTGTGATGGATTTGGAAGTACACCTGGTCATCTTTCTTTAAGGTTTGAGTGCAATTAATGGGATGCTACTCTGCTATGCTCAGAGTTACCAACCATCACGTACTGTAACAGAAAGTTCACTCATTCGGAATCTCTAAAATTCTCTTCTCTTTCATACATCAAAACAGCAGTGGGATTCAGTTTTGCCCTAACCCAGTTTTCTAAGTGGAGATTTAAAACCTGGCATCAGCAGGCTGTGTTGGAAGCATGGTACTGGGGGTTCAGAAGTTATCTCAAGGAGTAAGGCAGCATCTATTCACAGTCATAAAGATTCTGAGGATGGAAGAACACACTCCCCAGCATTATGCTCAGAGAAGGGGCCAGGACTCTGAGGATCAATGCTCTGTCATTTCCTCGCCTATGCATATTTGCAAGGCATAAGGCAGCCCCAGAGTGGTGAGGTCAAGTCAGGTGATTACAGAGTGCCTGTCACCTCAAGGGTTAGTGATTATGGAGTTCAGGCTGTAAGACGAACATTTTTTTAGGAATAATGGCAAGAACTGAACAGAAGACTGTAGGGGGCTGTGCTCCTGCATAGGAAACTTTTCCCAAAGGCCCTATGAGGACATTATAGGGTTTGGTTGAGATGATATCTTGCCCTAATGGGCCCAGTTTTCAAGGCTTCTCTGAGTCAGTTTTTCAGTTCACCTGCCCAGTTGCTTACAGGAGAGCTAGCTGGCTGGGTTAGGACTAGTTCCAGGGCTTGCCACATCATAGAAACAGAGTACTCTCTTTGCTTCTTGCCACAACTCAGAACTATTTCTGATCCCATGTCTCACCATGATAATAAGAGTTGTCACCTTCTCTAACACCGTAACGTACCAGAAATGAAGTCATAACTCAAGCTTTCTTCCTAAAATATCCACAGACTCCTTTATGCCAATTTATCCAATCCTTTTTAAGAACACTCAGATGCCATCACTAAGAGGAACTGGCTGGCTTCCATAAGTCAAATGAAAGTCTCTATTCACCTTTTCTGCAGACCTCCTTAAAACAACTTCTATCTGTAAGCAGCGTAACACAATGGTTGAAAGCACAGCCTTTAGAGCCATATTCCTTGAGTTTAAAATATCCTGGCTCCACTACTTACTACCTGTGTAAATTTAAATGTCTTGTGTCAACCATTTGTAAAATAGACATTACAATAGCTCCTACTTCATGGGGTTGTTATGGTACCTATAAAATAGATAAAGCATTTAGATCAGAGTCAGCATAATATAAACACTAGTGATTATTATTTTAGTAAATGCAACTAGAAGCTGTTTTCATGAGAGAGGAAAATCTGACAGGATGCTGTATTACAAAAAGATTAAAAAATTGCCAAATAAACAGCATTCAGGACATCTCAGAGGAAAGAGTTCATATAAAGATATGAAGGTATTTGATCTTTGAACATGTATTTATTGAAGCCCTGTTCAAAGCACCAGTGATATAGGCATTCACAAAAAAGACCCCACTCTCTGTCCTCATGGAGCTAATACTCAATGGGGGGGTTGGGGAACAGATAATTTACCAAAAACATAGGCAAAATGATATAATATATGAGCTCAGGATGAGTATTATGGAAAAAAAAATAAATGGGTATGAGAATTCAAAGTTGGGAAAGATGGTGTAATTTAGTTAGGGTGGTTGGGAAAGCTTTATTGACAAGATAGCATTTGCTTTAGGGCCAGAAGGAGGGAAGGCTGTAATCCATGGGTATAGTTGAGGAAATCCTTTCCATGTTTCTTGCAAAGTTTCTGAGATAAAAACTTGGTGTGTTTGAAAAACAGCAAAGAGGTCAATATAGGTGGAGCAGAGTAAGGGAAGGAGAGACTGGTAGAAGATAAGGTCAAACACTAGCAAGGATGGGGGCAGATAATATAAGATCTCGTAAGCCACAGGGTAATGACTCTGGGTTTTACTCTGAGAGAGCTGGAAGATAATGCAGAATTGTGAATGGAAGAGTCATATAGTCACACTTCAGTTTTTAAAGGACCATTTTGGCTTCTGTGTTAAAAATAATAATAATAAAATTATGAGTCAAAGAGGGAGAAAGCAGGATACCAATGAGAAGGCAGCTACAATGTTCTAGATGAAGAATCATGGTAGCTTGGACCAGGGTGGTAATATCAGAGAGGATGAAAAGGAGTCTGGTTTAGATATATTTAAAGGTAAGGCCAACAGTACCTGCTGACAGACTGGATATGAGGGTAGGGTATAAAATAAAGTAGGGAGTCAAAAAAAAAAAACTCCAAGAAATTAAAACCCAACACCTAGAAAAATAGAAATTATATATTTAAAAAATTTTTAATATTTATTTATTTTTGAGAGAGAGAAAGAGAGGCAGAGTGCAAGTGGGGGAGATGCAGAGATATGGAGACACAGACTCCAAAGCAGGTTCCAGGCTCTGAGCTGTCAGCACAGAGCCCAATGTGGGGCTTGAACTCACAGACCACAAGATCATGACCTGAGCTGAAGTCGGACGCCTAACCAAGTGAGCCACTCAGATGCCCCAGAATTTATATTTACTATGGGAAAAGGACTGTGGAATAAGAAGGTTGTAAGAGGATCACAATTTTAGTTTTGAATATAACGTGTTTGAGATGTTTGTTAGACATACAAGCAAGGGCATCAAGTGGAGAAATAGGAGACGGGAGTTTGGGGGAGGTCTGGGATGGTGATTTAAATTTGAAGATCATCAGGGGAAAAGGTATTTAGGAGAGTGATAACAGTGAAAGGAAGAGATGTAAGGATTGAGATGTGGAGCCTCCAATATTTAGGGTTTGGGGAGACAACAGGAACCAGCAAAGAAAACACTGAGGAAGAAGAGACTTGAGCAATGTGGTATATTGCAAGCCAAGTGATGAAGCTGTATCAAGGAGAGTGTCTTAGTTCTGATTAATATAACAGAATACCACACATGGGTGTCTTATAAACAATACGAACTTATTTCTCAAAGTTCTGGAGTCTAGAAGTCCAAGATCAAGGAGCATCATGGTCAAGTTCTGGTGAGAGCTCTCTTCTGGGGTGCAGATTTCTCTTTGTATCCTCATGTGGCAGAAGCAGAGAAAGGAGGCAGGCTCTCTCATGACTCATTACAAGGGCACTAATCCCTTCCTTAAGGACATCATCCTCATGACTGCATCTAATCTAATTACTTCCTGAATGTCCCACCTCCTAATACCATCATATTGAGGAGTAGAGTTTTAACATATAAATTTAGGGTAGGACATAAACATTCAGTCCCTAACAGTGAATATTTGCATTAATCTAAATATTATCGATAGGTCAAGTAATATGAAGACTAAGAATAAAGAAATAAGTCTAGTATTGCCCAAGGGACTTAGCAGTATGGAGGTCTTTGGTGACCTTGAAAAAAAGAAGCCTGATTTGAGTAGCTTCTAGAGGTCATGGATGAGAGAAACTGGAAAAAATTAATGTATTTCTGGTGTCAGCAGCAAAAGGGGAACAGAAACATGGAATGGTATCTAAGACTGACCAATGGGATCAGGAGAGGAATATTTTTCTTAGGGGAAAGCAACATGTTTATATACTTTGGGGGATGATACAGTCAAGAGGGGGAAATTGACATGCCAAGGAGGTGAGAGTTGCCAACATCCTAAGTAAGGGGGAAGGAACTGAATGTAGTGAATCTAATTGGATCCAATGTAAGGCTGGAGGGGCTGGCTTCAGGCAGGAGCATGGACAATTCCTCTCTAGGAGCAGAAAGATATATCTAACTAATTCTGCTTTTCAGTGGAATAGAGAACAAAGCAATCAGCTGCGATGAATGATCAAGACTGATGTATTAGAGGGGCACCCGGGTGGCTCAGTAGGTTAAGCATCCGACTTCAGCTTAAGTCATGAGCTCATGGTCCATGGGTTCAAGCCCAGAGCCTGGAGCCTGCTTCAAATTCTGTGTCTTCCTCTCTCTCTGCCCCTCTCCTGCTTGTGCTCTCTCTCTCTCTCTCTCTCTCTCTCTCAAAAATAACAAATCAACATTTAAAAATTAAAAAAAAAAAAAGACTGATGTATTAGAGATTGGAGGAGTGAAGGAAAGCTATGGAGCAGTCATGTAGGTGAGTGGACCAGAGAAACGCAGTAGGATGGCAGGGTGGTACTACCACCCGTTTAATATTAGCACTTAGGAATTTCAATGAGACCAAGCAGCTGGAAAAGGCAGAGACAGAAGAGGTGAGAGTGAAGAGTTGGAGGGTTTGGTAAACAGTATAAAAACCCTATTAAGGATTTTATACTCCAACCTAAAAGATAAAGGGAAGCTAATCCTGCTTGTCAAGCAGGGCAATGGCATAATTTAAGAGGGCTTGCCAGAGAGAAAATTCTGGTCAGCAAGAACATGACGGGCTAAAAGTTTTTAGTGGAGATATGGTCTTTGTGGTATCTAAAACTCCTTCTTATAACGAAAAAAAAAAAAATAGAGTTTGCTCTATAAAACTAACCCAGTAGGTGGGGGAGCCAAGATGGTGGAACAGCATGGAAGTTGTTTTTGCATTTCACATCCATGAAATACAGCGAGATCAACCCTAAACCATCCTATACATCTAGAAAACTTATTTGAAGATTAACACAACAATCTGCATAACCTGAACCACAGAACTCAGCAGGTACACAGCGCAAAGAGGTAAACAGGGGACAGAAGCTGCAGAAGGCTGGGAGCTGTTTTTGCTTGCAGAGAGAGGACAGAGACGGGGAGGAGAGTATGAGAAAAGCAGCCCCCTCAAAAGCAGCCAGAAAGAAATTGGAATAGTGGAAACAGTCGCAGGGACTGAACTAAAAAGGGAGAAAGGAGAGGGTTTAAATTCCATTAAGACTCTATAAACAGGGGGAGTGCAGAGTCTGAAACTCCAACGCTCAATACCTGGTGGTGCTCTGGTGGGAAGGGTGAATCCCCAGGAGCAGAGTGGGGTCTGGAAGGTCCTCGGGCCACCCAGGGAGAAGCAGTTTCACTGCTAGAAGGACATTTGGTAGAGGCTGTACGGCCACCTGGTCCCAGCAGACCCCAGAGAAAAACCACATTCGCTGGTGCTGGAATAGGGTCATTGAAGGTGAAGTCTGGTGCCAGATGTGGGTTGTGATTTGCCATAATCCCTGAAATGCTGCTCCTACAGGATCACGTGAACTTTTTCTGTGGCACCCAGCTGCAGTCTCTGGGCATCAACAGCAGCATGGTCCTGGGTGAGGCTGGCACCCGGCCATGGTTCATTGAGACCCAACCCCAGATGATCTGAGTAGGTCAAAGCTGCAGTCCCTCAGAAGTGAGGGGTCGGGAAACACAGCCGCATCTGAGATAAAACTCAGGAGGGAAATGGAGCCTGGAAACTTGATGGCTTGGTCATGGACAGTGTTAAAGCGGGGAATGGACAGAAACCAGAGACAAAGGATGGGTGTGCAATTGCTGGTCTGGGAGAGCACAGAGTTCCTATACTAGAGACTGGGAGGCTGGGTGATGCCATCTTCACCATTCCCGTGCATGCGCATACACACCAACAAGTGCCACAACATTCAACCCTAGTAAGCTAAGCAGCGCCATCTAGTGGAGAATAGAGCCCTTACATTAAGCCCCACCTGACTGGGCCAAACTCACTCTTCAGGAACACCACAAATCTCTCTGCATGCTTAGTTTACGGACTACAAAGTGCTTCATAGTTTGACTTCTAGGGGAAAGCAATGTAATTTCAATCGTATTTCAGTCTGTTCGCTTGTCCATGTATTCAATTTTTTTATTTTTTTGTTCTTGAATACAGAAAGAGAAAAATCTATTTTTACTGTCAATTTTTATTAAAAATATTTTTCTTTATTTTTTTCTTCTAAATTTTTTACTTTTTTGTAATGTTTTCAAATTCTATTTTACTTCCATTATTTTATTTTATTCTATTTCATTGTATTCATTTTCTCAAATTTTCAAACATTTTCCTTCCCCCCCCTTTTTTTATCTAATCTATCAAGCTCCTTTCAATAGCTAGACCAAAACACACCAGGATCTAAAAATCATTTATTTGATTTGTGTGTGTTGCTTTTAATTTTTTAATTTTAATTTTTTTTACCTTATTAATGCCTTTTTTTTCCTTAAAAATGATGAAACAGGAATTCACCGCAAAAGAAACAGCAGGAACAAACAACAGTCAGGGACATAATCAACACAGATACAAGCAAGATGTCTGAACCAGAATTTAAAATCACGATAATAAGAATACTAGCTGGGGTTGAAAATAGATTAGAATCCCTCTCTGTGGACATAAAAGAAAAAAGCTAGTCAGGATGAAATAAAAAATGCTATAACTGAGCTGCATCTCGAATGTATGCCATGGATAAGGCAGAGCAGGAAATCAGCAATAGAGAGGACAAACTTATGGAGAATACTGAAGCAGAAAAAAAGAGGGAGACTAAGGCAAAAGAGCACAATTTAGGAATTAGAGAAATCGGTGACTCATTAAAAAGGAATAACATCAGAATCATGGGGGTCCCAGAAGATGAAGAGAGAGAAAAGGGGTAGTAGGGTTCTGTGAGCAAATCATTGCAGATAACTTTCCTAACCTGGGGAAAGACACAGACATCAAAATCCAGGAAGCATAGAGGACTCCCATAAGATTCAACAAAAAACCGACCATCAACAAGGAATATCATAGTCAAATTCACAAAATACTCAGGCAAGGAAAGAATCATGAAAGCAACAAGGGAAAAAAGTCCTTAACCTACAAGGGAAGGCAGGACAGTTTCACAGCAGACCTATCCAAAGAAATTTGGCAGGCCAGAAAGGAGTGGCAAGATACATGCAATGTGCTGAATCAGAAAAATATGCAGCCAAGAATTCCTTATCCACCAAGGCTGTCATTCAAAATAGAAGGAGAGGAGGAAATAGAAAGCTTGAACAGACCCATAACCAGCGAAGAAATTGAATCGGTTATCAAAAATCTCCCAACAAATAAGAGTCCAGGACCAGATGGCTTCCCAGAGGAGTTCTACCAGACGTTTAAAGCAGAGATAATACCTATCCTTCTCAAGCTATTCCAAGAAATAGAAAGGGAAGGAAAACTTCCAGACTCATTCTATGAAGCCAGTATTCCTTTGATTCCTAAACCAGACAGAGACCCAGTAAAAAAAGAGAACTACAGGCCAATATCCCTGATGAATATGGATGCCAAAATTCTCAATAAGATACTAGCAAATCGAATTCAACGGCATATAAAAAGAATTGTTCACCATGATCA